ACCTTTCTGAGAAGAACCGGCGAAACAAACTCAAGAGAGGCTTTCTATCTCCTTCTTATGTTAAATTATGCAAACAAAAAGAACTTATAGTATCTGTTGGTCTTGCAGTGTGTACTAGAGGTTGGGATTTTATCTCCTGTATAATGGGTTCCCATTCTCTGAGCAGCTTAGTGCCAACGTTTTTGAAAAGTGTCGACGAAGTGAGATGCTTCACGTCGAAAACACATGGTAAATTCGACTTATGGCGTATATTCTCCACAATTGTCGTTTGTTTTGTTCGGTTTCTTCGAAATATGATAAGGCCCAATACTTTGTCTTTCTTCTAACACTCATTTTCATTCATAACAGTTTAGATCAATAAGGATGAGTAAGGTTTTGACGCACCGCGTGTTTATCCAGATGGTTTGATTCTAAACGGTACCACACCTTACTACTGTAGGTACAACGAGGATATGCGTAGATAGATACACTCTTGTATCACCTTTATCACATTACAATAAAAACAATGTTCGTGCTTTAAGTATATCTATATATATAAAACTCAAAGGAGACTGACTGACATAGTGATCTATCAACGCACAGCCCAAACCACTGGACGGATCGGGCTGAAATTTGGCATGCAGGTAGATGTTATGACGTAGGCATCCGCTAAGAAAGGATTATGATCAATTCTACCCCCAAGGGGATAAAATAGGGAATGAAAGTTTGTATAAAACTTTGTCAATTTTAAACCGATCGGGCTGAGACTTCGCATGCAGTTATAAGAAAAATCATAGATGAATATCATTGTGTATAATACAAGCCTGAGAACAAAAACTGTAGTCTACACTTCTTTCGACTTTAGGTCAACAATTCATAAAGACAACAATATTTCGACCATTTATTTCTGTTTTTTCAACAATAGCTTTATGAATTGTCAATTTGTCGCTATTAATCCATAATAGCTTGAGTTAAATCTCATCTTCAGGATTCCTTTCCGTTTTGGGGATAGAAAGCTTTTAAAGAAATGCTAGTCTACCAACTCTTTAACTGGGCATTTATTACACCTAACCTTAGATTAACACAAAAAGGGAAGATACGGTACGCTCATACTAGCATCAAATTAAATATGATCCGACTCAACTACATAAGCAACTCTCACACGTCTGTATATAAACATTCAATCGAGAGAGCGAGACAGAACTGTGTATGCTTTAAGGCACGTTTACACGCTTGCCAAGCTTTGGTAAACGGCAAACAGCCCCAAGCCTCTACAAATCTCGTTTGGCGTTTGAAAGGCGTTTACACGCTTGTGAATGCGTCAGTCTGCAACATACATCCAAGCATGGCGGACACCGAACTTGTGACGGCTATTGCATTTGGTTTAACATACTTTTATTTTTAAATCTAAAGAAAAGTTTACTAGAAAAAAAATCTACGCGGACCAGGCAGCGGACGGGACTCGAACCCGCACCTTTCGCAATCCGGGCGAATGCACTGACCATTATGCTACCACGGCCCTATTCGCCGCGTCGAAATTTTCCTAGCCTTAAGCTGCAAGGCAGCGCCATCTCTTCGCAATCTAAAGAAAAGTTTACTAGAAAAAAAAAAAACTTTTATTTGAAATGCAAGCAAAGTGAAACAAAAAAGGTGAGCTCGACGACATCAATATCTCTTTTTTATTTTTTATTTCCTTTACTGGCCTTCCGGCACAGCGGTGACACTCTGTGTACGTGAGAGTTCCAGCGTCAGTGACCTTGAGCAGGAGCGTGTATGCGCTAGGGTTGAACTTGGAATTTAGACTTGTGCCAATGAATATTTATGCATAGTAAGTTATTAAATGTAAACTGATTCAAGGATACTGGGGTAAATAATGAAGGATAGGTTTGATTTTATAATCAATTTTTAATCTTTTAATGTAGGTACTATAACAAATTGCTAACTTTTATATATTTTCTCCTTTTTCGATTCGTTTTTATTAGTTTATTATTTAGATAATAATAAGATTGCGTAGCGTAGTCAGTCTGTGCGTGCAATGCAGTGCAACGCTATTATTTTACTATTTCGCTACTGCCATCCCTTCGGTCGAGGCAGTCGGCGACTGCCCTCTCCACGCCCCGCGCGCCGCGCAACGCCCCCGCACACCTCCAGACACCCACACATAGCCGCGGGCGATTTTACGAGCACACATGCTTAAGTGTCGCTTCTTTTCGCGTAGTGTATATATTCTGTGCTTCCGGTTAGTTCAGCAAGACGAATCCATGCATCTGCTTGTTTCTTCTTATCTTTATGATTTGCATCTTTCGGATTCCAGATGCAGGATTCCATCTGGTAATGTTCCAGAAACGAAAGATTCTCCTCATTCGACCAGCCACTCATTTTTTATTTTTTTGTATAATTAAGCAATTGTGTACTCGCCGCGAGATCACAATGGCTACTAAACTCGGATCAACATGTAAATACGTCGCAAGCGCTTGCCGCAAACGCCCTTTGATCTGCGTAAAAAAAACCGACACTCGACTGGATCGTAAGCCAAGCCAAGGCTTGGCAAGCGTGTAAACGTACCATTACGCCGCGCGAGCCAAACGGCGAAACCGCACGGCTGAGCTGTATTGTTGTCCTTTTCTTGATAACAAAATGGCGATTACGTAAATAACATTCACGGCAAACTGTGATTTTTTAGACAAAATGTTTTTACAGTTTTACGAATGACAAGTGTTGCCGAGGCATTTGTTATTTGATTTTGAACTATTTGCGTTATTTTAAAAGCATCGAAGGCATTGTTTATCTTTATAACACATAATTTATGCAATATATTCTATATTATTGTTATATTCAGTGCACCTGCAGCGTGTTTGAATGTCCAATTGTGACTAAAGCGAATTATGGTCGTGGACCACAATTTAATCGGATCACTTTTGAGCCGCGATTGCCGTATCTTCCCTTTTTGTTTTAATCTTAGCACCTGCCTCAACAGTGCTATGGTAATCTAATAAATCTTATATTTTGCACATAAAGCCCGAACATAATATAAAAGTTATTGTTTTGTGACCTGAAAAATAGAGGTAAGAAAATGAGCACAAAATGTAATAGGTTAAAATTAAATAGCCACTCTTTCTTACATAAAATTTTACAGTATACCATAATTTAATAGAAGAACATACGGTCAACAGGACTTTATTAAGATGAACCAACTTCATCATATTTTTTTGTTTTTCAACTCCACGCGTTGGATATAATGTTCGCAAACGATACCTCTATAAAGTACTAGCGGCCCGCCTTCGCTTCGCTTCGGTGTAGAGCTGAAGTGTAGACTACAGTTTTTGTTCTCAGGCTTGTATTATACACAATGATATTCATCTATGATTTTTCTTATAACTGCATGCGAAGTCTCAGCCCGATCGGTTTAAAATTGACAAAGTTTTATACAAACTTTCATTCCCTATTTTATCCCCTTGGGGGTAGAATTGATCAAAATCCTTTCTTAGCGGATGCCTACGTCATAACATCTACCTGCATGCCAAATTTTCTGCCCGATCCGTCCAGTGGTTTGGGCTGTGCGTTGATAGATCACTATGTCAGTCAGTCACCTTTGAGTTTTATATATATAGATTTAGTTTATTATACTCTTTCCTTTTGTCTATTCCTGTCTTTGAAAATAAAACCCGCGTCAGCAGCTGAATAAAAATAATATTTAAGAGCTTACCTGTATCTGTCTATAATTATTATAGAAACATCTTCCATAGTTATTATATCTATATAATCATTAATGAAGACGTAGCCAGCACCAAAGGATTACGTGTCTTAGACGGCGAAAAATCTAGACATATAAAAATTTTGGTCACCCATCCAATGTTGGTCATTACGAAAGCAGCTTAACTTCTACAATGTGCACTATCGAGCTCCTAACTACAAAAAGGTCGTTAACTTGTTATCCGAAAACACATTATTCAAATAATCTCCAATAGCTATATTTTTTTTTCTGAAAAAAGCAGCCATTTGAGCGTTATTAAACGAATGAATGGCTGAAATATAAAATTGCACGTTTGTATAAGGTATATAATTTAATGAGGCAGTGATGTGGTGAACAATTTGCTGTATAAATTGCTCTGGCAGGCATACCGCTTGTCACGATGATTTCAACCATTGCACACTAAGATACTGTATGAGTTATCAATGCTTGGGTAAACATTTATTGCGTTCTAAGTTAGCTTATTATCAAAACAAACGCATTGCCTATTTTGCTTAAATAAAAACAAAAATAAAAACCATTATTCTAAAGTTATGAATTCTGGTTTCCAAATACTCTCCCAGGATTCAAAATTAAAAATCATGACTTCAGTCTAGGCTGTTACAAGCACTTCTGAAGATCAAGAAGCTACGCCATCGGTTCGCAAAACTACGGCAGGAGATCTTGTACTGAGAAAAACCGGCAAGAAACTCAGCAAGGGCTGTATTGTTATACAAAGTCAAGAAGTCATTTGACGACCTCCGTGGCCGAGTGGTTTTCATGGTGTCGCCGACTCGAGAGGTCCTGGGTTCAAATCCCGGTGGGGGCAGATGTTTGTGTGATGAATACGAGCATTTGTACTCCAGTTGGATGTTTAATATGTATTTCTATATAAATATATTTAAGTACAGTATATGTATTCTATCCGTTACCCTAGTATCCCATAACACAAGCCTTGCAGTGCTTACTTTGGGGCTAGGCTTATTGGTGTGTGTTGGAAATATTTATTATTATTATTTATTATCAAGTTGAAAAATGAGATACTTCTGAAGTCACCTTCCATTAGGTCATTTAGAATATAGTTACAATAGATATAAAGTTACAATAAATTTTGTAGTTAAGTTTATATTTAGTATATAGGAAATGGAATGTCACATGAGCTGGAGTACAATTTTATGGACGACATCAGGCATTTTCTGAGGCGCGATATTAAACTTTGGTCACTCATCCGATAGCCAAACTTTACTGAACTTTACTGGTCCCACCAACATGTCCCCCTGGTCCCACCAACATGTCCCCCTGGTCCCACCAACATGTCCCCCTGGTCCTACCAACATGTCCCCCTGGTCCCATCAACATGTCCCCCTGGTCCTACCAACATGTCTCCCTGGTCCCATCAACATGTCCCCCTGGTCCCACCAACATGTCCCCCTGGTCCCATCAACATGTCCCCCTGGTCCCACCAACATGTCCCCCTGGTCCTACCAACATGTCTCCCTGGTCCCACCAACATGTCCCCCTGGTCCCTTCAATATGTCCCCCTGGTCCCACCAACATGTCCCCCTGGTCCCTTCAATATGTCCCCCTGGTCCCACCAACATGTCCCCCTGGTCCCACCAACATGTCCCCCTGGTCCCATCAACATGTCCCCCTGGTCCCACCAACATGTCCCCCTGGTCCCACCAACATGTTCCCCTGGTCCCAACAACATCTCCCCCTGGTCCCACCAACATGTCCCCCTGGTCCCATCAACATGTCCCCCTGGTCCCACCAACATGTCCCCCTGGTCCCACCAACATGTCCCCCTGGTCCCACCAACATGTCCCCCTGGTCCCTTCAATATGTCCCCCTGGTCCCACCAACATGTCCCCCTGGTCCCATCAACATGTTCCCCTGGTCCCACCAACATGTCCCCCTGGTCCCTCCAACATGTCCCCCTGCTCCCACCAACATGTCCCCCTGGTCAGCAAATATACTCTCTTTTTTGGAGGGCTCGGAATTTCACTGAACCAGCATAGCGATTAGCTGGTTTATGTTCTGGATTACCTTTTTTGGCCAAAGATAATCTTCCGGAGAAATAAAGATTCGCGCTAGGACTCTGTCGCGTATTATAAAACAAGATCTGAAAGTCAGTGCTTATCGAAGAAATATAGGACATGCCCTAAATCAAACTTTACGCAACGAAACGCAGGTGAAGAGCACAGAAATATCCTCTTTCACGATGAAAACAATTTCAAGATTGAAGAACACTACTATAAGCAAAATGATAGTGTCAGTTCTAAAGAAGCTGTTCAAGTGTGTGTTTATTGTGTGTGTGTGTGTGTGAGAGAGAGAGAGAGCCATTTGTTACACGAGTATTACAACAACAATGAAAAAACACATAAACATTAAGATAAAAACTTAAAACTATATAAGTAAATTAATGGTTAATTAGGACCCTGCCTCAGCTCTGAGGCAAGTGGTCGGAAAGGTACAATGTGGTCATCATCCTGCGTCGGTGATGGTTTGGTTTGGCGTGTCTTATCAAGGAGTCGCAAAACTACATGTTTGTGAAAAAGGAGTGATAACTTCAGCGAAAGTGTGAAGGTACAATCTTGGATCATATTGTGTAAACCAGCAATACGCCTTTTAAAAATATACGGGGGACTTTCCAGCAGGATGTGCACCTGGTCATAAGGCACGAAGTACCTAAGCCTGGCTTGAAACCAACGTTCCGGACTATATAAGAGGTAAAGACTGGCCCTCATCTAGCCCAGACCTCAACTCTTTAGACTTCATATTATGGTCAGTTTTAGAGGACATGGCCTGCTCTAAGCTGTACTGTGTCCTTTTCCAGACTTTTTATTAATTTATTGTAATTAATTATTTGCATGCAATTAAAAACTAATTTTAAACGATGCCAAAGAAGGATAACTTCTCACGCGCCTACATAAGTACACGCACCCATTTTTTTATATATTTATATAGTTCTGTTTTTATTTTTTAAATGCTAAGTTTTTTAAATCTAAAGAAAAGTTTACTAGAAATAATTCCACGCGGACCATATTATATAATATATAATCGTTTGACGCTCGTGATGCATTTCCATTTCATATTTTCCGTAGGAATTTTCCATTTACACCCCGTCCGAAAAAAAGTTTCACTTCAAAAAAACTAATTATAACGCAGACTAAGTCGTGAGAGAAAGCTAGTATCTAAATGAAGCCCTACCAATGTCTTAGCGTAAAGTTTAACTACAGCACTGCGAGACTTCGATCAATTTCAAAGTTTGAATACGGTTAATGTCGTCACTTTCTTCAATCAATAGGATAAGGCAAAACACCACTTTGATAAGCCTTACAAAAATTCAAAATTCAATATCGTTTATTCAGTCTAGTCTGTTACAAGCACTTGTGAATGTCGAAAAGCTACGCCATCGGTTCGCAAATCTACGGCGGGAGACCTTGTACTGAGAAGAACCGGCAAGAAACTCAGCAAGGGCTGATTTTTTCTCCCTGTTTTATTTCATACAGTGTCGTCCAATTGAAAGTTGACATCAAACTTGCAAACATGTGTTGAGGTCAACTTCCATCACATAATGTCAAATATGTAATAATAGACAATCAACGAATTTACTAACAATAAGTGCAAAGTTACGTTGAAATTAAACTGAAATTGGAACTATTGAAACTGAATATACCATTATACATACATCCTAAGCTACAACAATGGTTGTCGTTACGTAAGAGTAAAGGCAAACTCGGGCGCACTGCCGACCGAAGATCGACGCGACGCGACGACGCGTACGCGACGGCAAAAACACGCCGCGCGCGCACGCATCCGCAAAGAGTCCGCACACTCCAACGCGCGCGCTGCCGCGCCACTACCCCTCACCCACGGACTACCCCGCCCTAAATACCGATCAACTGTTCCAAATTCAAATTAAGTTTTTTTTTAAATTTAAAACTTTCTGTGCCAGGTTAAATACCGATCAACTGTTCCGAATTCAAATTAAGTTCTTTTTAATTTAAAACTTTCAGTGCCAGGTTAAATACCGATCAACTGTTCCGAATTCAAATTAAGTTTTTTTTAATTTAAAACTTTCTGTGCCAGGTTAAATACCGATCAACTGTTCCGAATTCAAATTAAGTTTTTTTGATTTAAAACTTTCTGTGCCAGGTTAAATAGCCATAGACTTAAAATAAAAACTTTATGCAGCCAGTTCTTGAGGGACTGTTAGTGATAAGTGCAGTGACAGTATTTGTAATTCTACGAGTGCTCAATGTAAGTAACTATGTTTTCCTATCATTACAATATATAGTCCAGGAAATGAAGCTAATAAAATGGTAAAACATCGCAATTTTTTTCGTCCAGCACCAATTTGTACAAAAATTTGAGATTAGGCTTATTTCAACCTCTAGTTCATTTTCTATATTGTTCCGTTGTACGCTTTTTCTTTTATAAGGGGTGAAACATACCGCTTCTTATCAAAAATTATAAAATAAAATATAAACCTAAATATGGGTAAAACTAAATTAAAAAATGATTGTTTCATGCTTTAGGATACAATTTCATAATCTTTCAACGTACCCTTGTTAAAAACTACCCTTAAAAACATTGATTACTTTTTGGAAAAAAATAATTGATCGATTTTTTAAGCATAGCTCCTTCATTTTAGGTGATAGAATTTTTTTTTCGGAAATGATTTTGTAGAGCTTTTCAGGAGCTATAAGACTATGTGAATTAAATTACTTAAGATCCCTTAATTTTTAAATGGGGACAGTTTAAAGCGCTTGAATAAGGTGATCTTCGATCGTAAATGTAGGTGTAAAACGGCTATATCTCGCCGAATATTCATTGTACAAAAATATGCACACAGGGAATTTTTCGTCATTAAAAAAAGCTACAATTCAGTACTTTGTCGATTTTTTCGTATCTTTAGTATTTTGGGAGATATTTTTAAGAAAATGGTGAAAAACACGAAATTGAAAAAAAATCGGTTTTCTCTTTAAACTTCATTTTTTCTAAAATTTGGCACTTTAAATTGGTCAAACTTCGTGGGTGTATTAATAGTACATATATAAAGAGAATTATAGAAGAGTGGCGATCAATTTTAATTAGGGAGTACTTTAGGGGTTGTATTCACAGATTTTTTTCGTAGAAAAAAGCTGGTACCGATCTTATTTTGATCATAAGTCGGTCAATTTTCATGCTAGAGACATTGTTTTTTTATTTTTTGAAAGCTCTAATTAAATACTTTAAAAAAGATTTTATGAACTTTCTTCCAATAATGCAATTTTTTCTCGTTATTTCGCTGTAAATCTTCCAATTTATGCATTGCATTGCAAGCATTACTTTGCTGTTCTTAGTTCATATTTCTCATAGAAAAATTATAAAATACGTATTGTTTTCGTTTTTTTAAAAAGCTACAATTTAACTCTGCACTTTTTTTTAGAGTTACTCGCAAAAACCATTTAAAAAAGTCGTTTTTTTTTTGTCAAAAATCTGTTACTTTCAATTTTGAATAACTCAAAAAATATTAGTTTTACGAAAAAAATGTATACTTATAACATTTTTTCTTAGTATTACTTTTTCCGTCGATTCCTAGAGTTAAAATGTAATAAAAAAAATCCACCCCCGTGATGCGGTGGCAACCACCCCCAAGGCTCTAGCGTATAGAAACTGCTCCTTGAGCTGTTCCCTACCTTTTGTGAAAATTTCAAGTAAATCCATGGTGGACGAAAAAATTGCGAGTGAAAACGCTTCATTTCGTGGACTAATCCGCGTATGTTTGCTTCGCCCACGTAGTACCTCCATCGCGTCTTAAACCATTACAAACGCTGCAAAATCGTGTATTGCGCGGTGCCACAGGTTACCCGTGGAAATCAGAAATCAGAAATCGATATATATTTATTCAAATTGGATGTATAGTACAACACTTTTGAATCGTCCAAACATTTTTTTCCCTACCACTCGTTATTAGACATATTTTTTAGCTGCGGAGAAAAACGAGCGAAAAAAACTCCACAACTTTAAAAGCATAATGTAACAACATTTACAAATCATTATGTTGTTACAACGTCAATACAATCATGATTTATTTAATATAGAACACCTGTTGGAATGATTGGAACAGTTCAAACCCAAGCATTTTTGTCTGTAATATAATCAGACACTTTGTAATAAGCTTTTTTAATAAGTGTTTTTTTATACTATCTTTGAATTTATTTATGCTTAACTCTTGGATATTGCTTTATTATATAAGTTGTGGTATGTGCGCAACATCAATTTACATCGCGATCTCAAGTTAGACTCCATCGCGAACTATTTGAAGGAACCTATTAGTTAAAGCTATTAGTTTTCACACGTCCGCCTTCCCGTCCTCGAATCGTAGGTTCCTCCGATCCCGTCGGCCTAGGCACGTCTTAGACTACCCAGACTAGTGTTGCCGAACTATCGATATGAAAACTATCGACAGTTTACATCGAAAATCATGTACCCTATCGATAGAATCAATACAATCGATAGTATCGAAACTATCGATAGCACAGAACAAGGCAATACTATCGAATGAGTGCAATAGTATCGATACTATCGTAGTTCGTTAATAACAAACTATTGATAGTATCGATACTATCGATACCGTTGATTTTATCTGCATCAATACTATCGATAGTATCGATACTAGCGATTGTTTTAGACTATCGATAGTCTACCAAATTGCAATAGTATTAGGTATATTTTAACAGTATTGTAGTTGAGGACTATTAGAGGCCGATATATATATTTTTATAAACATTTCTATCGAGCTGTGCTAATTCTAATAGTTGATTGTGATTCACTATAATACCTGAAAATTGTAAACAATACTATTGCAAGTTGTTAAACTATCGATAATATAGTTGCAAATAAAATCGACAGTATCATCCGATAGTATTGGCTTGTTCTGTGCTATCGATAGTACTATCGATAAGCCGATCGATTGTCATACGATTGGTCGGCTATCGATAGACTATCGATTAATCCTCGATAGTCGACTATCGATCGGCAACACTAACCCCGACACCGAAATCACGCGCGCCAATGCGCCTCCGACTCCTCCCATACAGGCCACAAACACCAACACTACCCAGCTAGCAAACTTGAGCACTAGCTTAGCATTAGGTAGACACCGCATCGGATAAGAGTGCGACAACCTGGTCTACACACAACACGCTATACCAGGTAGTACGTACCTGGGCGTTTTTCCTGCCCCCCATGACAACGGCTGACTAGAGCCGAGGTCCGAGTTTCAGAGACGCCCTCTAGTTGAGCCGACCCCCTCAGGTTCGAGTGGTCTAGAGGCTTCAGATGGAGAGGAGACTCTCCCCGTGGGGAAATGCCATCCGCCTGGAATACCTCTAGAGGCACTCGCCAATTCTCGGCTTGAGGTCCCCTTAAGATCTCGCCGTCCCCAAACTCGGTGACGCTGTTGAGGTCATATTTTACGATTAATTTAATATAACGTTTATTTTCAATTTGCATACTTAATAAATCACACTGAAGTGATTTATAAAAATACAAAAATACAAGTAAAATGTGCGATGCATATTATGCTTTCAATCTCAAAAAAACTTGAAATATCTGTTTCGCTTTAAAACTTCCACAAAACACTCCCAACTAAATCTCTTATCTATTAGACAAGTCCGTCCGTCCGTCCGTCCGTCCGTCTGTCGGTGGTGCTGTTTCAGCGGCCAAACCGTAAGAGATAGATAAAGAGAATGTTTAAGTTATAAGTTAAGAATAGTCTGATAAGACTACAAACCGGATTTGAGTAACGTAGCACTTCCGGTTTTCGAGAAATCACGAATTTCAAAGGAAACCACACAAAATCTCCGAAGTTCTCAATTAATTAAATACATTTTTTTTTTAGGTTTTGGTGAACATTTGGTTCACTGGTTTGCTAGTACTTTAATAATAGGGATGATGACAGAGTAAATCTAACGAAATTCTATTAAGTCCGTCAGACATTATCAAAAAATATCAAATAAATTTTTATTCTGTCAATCAACCAAAAAATTGCGAACAAAATAAGCGTCAAATTTTGATAGTTCATCACTTCTAAGATAAGAATGTTTTGATTATGTGAGTAAAGAAAAAATAGCAATATTTTTGATAGTCTATCTAAGAGAATAAGATATAAAATGGCAGTCATCACCCCTATTCCTAAATCACTGTTATCCACAGTCCTATATTACATTACTGGCGTTCTTTATTTAATAAGTATGTTGTGTCAATAATCCACATTAATATGTATAATATGCTATTTACATTAAGTGCATACTGTCTGATAAAGTAGATTGTTAAAGTATTTAAACGTGAGATCAAAAAATTTCAAGAATGCAATAAAGTAGTTTTTTGCTCCGTAATCTGAAGTTACTCGAGGCTGAAAAAAGTTTGTTATCTTTATATATATAATTCTTCTGTGAGTGTGTATGTCACTGAACTTCTCTTAAACGATTGGACCGATTTTGATGAAATTTTTTGTGTGTGTTCAAGGGGATCTGAGAATGGTTTAGATTCACAATTTTGTCCGCTGGACAATGTTTTTTTAATTAATTTTTAATTTATTAGTAGTTGTTGATTTTGGAATGTTTTACATTGGATCCGACAGATGGCTATGTGTATATTCCTGTCAAACATTTGACGTTCGTCGTTTATCATTTCTTCCAAATTATTGTAAGCAATACGAAGTACGCTGGGTCAGCTAGTTTTTTTATAAGATTGCGTAGGTAGGTACCTTATGGTTAATACTGATTGCTGTGTACGTCGTTCTGTCTGTAAAATAACAAACAGATAGCTGAAAATTTCACAGAATGTATTGTTTCTGTTGCCGCTATAACAATACTAGTTAAATTTATAAGGAAATTTCCAAACTTTCACCAAACGTTGCTCTGCCAAAATAAAACTGGAATTGTTTTTTTTAATAACTTCTAATGCAATGTAGTAGGTATATTAGTGGCTAAATCAAGACACGTGTATTTTTTTCCTCCAGAGTAACATTAAGAAAAATATACGAGTAAAATTTCCTTTAGATTTTGAAATGTAGCAGTTAAATGCAGAAAAGCTCTCTTACTCTCCGTTCACTGGTTTGGTGATTTAAGAAACCAAGGTGGGTGGCAGGAGCTGGATGCGAGTAGCCCAAGATAGGCTTGTTGAAAGTGTATCGATGTATCGATATTTTTTGTTCGATATATCGATATTTTTAGCCGATATATTTTGATTCGATATATCGATATATCGAT